TGCCCGTGAGCGCGGGGGACGCGGCAGGAGCGGGGCAGGGGCCGCCTCGGCCGCCGTGCGGGGGGAGTCGCTGGCCGGGACCGCGTCCAGGCCCGTCAGGGGCTCCACGGCGCGGCTCCGGTGCGGCACGTGCCTCACGCCTGCTTCCCGCCTCCGGGTGCCGCTCCCGTTCTCCCAGCCCACGCGGGCCGGTGTCTGAAGGGCCGGAGCAACGCGCTCCGGCGGCTCCTGGGCGGCGGGGGCACCTTCCGCAGAGAGGGGCTCCCCACACCCGGTGTCACCTGCCAGACGCGTCTCTGGCCCGGGGGTACCGCACGAACCGCTGGGCCCAGCCGGTGCCCTCAAGGCGTCGGTAAACCCTGCCGAACCCTTAAAAAACACATGGGACAGATACATCGCTGCCGGTGTTCGTGTAATTTTGTACAAACATTCTGCCTCAGTTTCCCATCTTCTGAAGTGGCTGCGTTTTAGAGGTGTTACATATGCAGTTCTTGATCTAGATCAAATTGTTAATCAACTGCATTACAAGTGCCATTTGAATAAAGATTTATTCTCCCTATAAGGATAAAAAAATGCCCAGCTGTACAGTAAGGGATTTGCTCACCTGCCTGACTTTGAAATACTTGTCAGTGCTATTTCTTTATGTACTTTATTGTTAGATGGATAGTTGATACTTTTCCAGTACTTGAAACACTTTTTCTGAGGGGAAAAGGTTATGTTCATATAAGGTTAAGATATTGGTATGGCTATTACTTAGTTAGACATGCAAAATGCAAGAGTAAAGTGAAGAAAGTAATTCAATTTATGTCGATTTCTGTCCTTCCCTAGACATCATTTTTATTTGTCCACAGTCTCTTACTTTGCAGCGATCCCAGATGCACGTACCTCAAAGTACAGCACACCGCCAGTATTCTCATGGGATGTGCTGCTTGATTCTGTGTAATCTTACTGAAGAGAAGCAGAGCCTGTTATTAGCAAGGTGGGTGTGAGCTTGTCTATATTTGGAGGAAGAAGTGCCTTATTTGTGAGGAGATTTGCATTTTCTGTGAAAGAGCTTGCTGCAGGCCCAGCTGATTCTCCCAGGGCTGCAGGAGCTTTGTGCACGGCTGCCGTGTAATGGCATGTAGACTGTAATTATGGATGCGCAGATTGATGTCACTGAGTCTGTGAGGATTCCTACGGGGACATTGTCTGCATCAGAAATGGGAGCTGGGAATTCAGATTTAACCCAGTGCTCTACTTGCAAAAAATTATGTCTGTTTTGCTGTTCATCCAAATTCAGCTTTTAACTGGCTCAGGTCTTTTGTGAGCAGTCTGTGAGAATCCTGTTGGACTCACTTCTAAACTCTCATTAGAAACAGCTGATGTGGTGTCTGAAAGGAACTAATTCACTGGCTCAGGTGCTTGCTACACCAGCATCCCAAATATTTCCCAAAAATCTACAGAAGTTCTCATTATGACACACAATTCATCACTTGATAAGCCTCACTGCTCATTGGTTGGCCTTAAAATTACTCCAACATTTCTTCCTCTCAAAAGCTGGCATTAATTAAGAAGACTTAGAGGTAGCTAGTTAGCAGCCTTCCAACACCTAAGTGGAAGTTACCAAGAAGAGAGACACAAAGCTCTTCACAGAACAGTGTGACAGAAAAATTAGACCCATAATTTGAAATGAGCTTCCAGTGAGGCAAACCCCAGAACTGCCTGGCCCCAGTTCAGCATTAGACTTGCTTTATGCAAGAGGCTGGACTCAAAGTCAAGACCTCCAAAGTCCTTTTGAACTGTAATGATGCTGTCATTCTGAAATAATTTTCTTCTGGAAAAAAAGGAACACGTTTAAGGAAGTTTTGAATGCAATCATTTTAGCTTGTAACAGTATTCCAGCATCAGTAAATTTGATTCCCCCACTTACTATGAGGGAAAAAATACGACAATTCATTTTTCTAAAAGGGCCCTTTTCATGTTAAACAAATTTAAGTGCTAATTCCGCAACCTTGTACGTGTTTCACAGCACCACTGTGATAAACAGGATTGTTTGTCACGGCTGGAGGGAGTTTCCGTCAGGCCTGAGATGAAAATCTGGGTTTGCTGTTCTGCTGGAGTTACACCCCTGCTCCAGACTCATTTATTCTCCTCCTCCACACCTCCCTTTGTTGGTAGTAGAACTGAACACGTGCATGTTTGTAAGTTACACCAAGATGTGCTTTTATGCTTTTTTAGCCTGGCTGGTTACGCAGCTGATACTACTCTGGGAAAATGTGTTAAGCAGGTCCCTTCTGGCTCTGTCAGATGCAGAGCATCTCTCCGACCTGACTGGGTTGTAGCTGTAGCTGAAACAGTTCAGCATGAGTCACTGAAGCCATTTCAGTGCAAACTGCTCTGCCTGCTGGTGAATGCTGCATCTGTTCTGGTGATGCAAACCAGGCCTCACCAGCACACGTCTGTTTCCTTTCTGCTTTTAATCAGCAAAAATTAGGACTGTCTAAACTTCTGCACTAGCCACTTAGCCACATAATATAAAGTACAAAATACAAACCAGAATCTAATGAATCGTTTATTCATGTTTTAACTTCAGTCTGAAATGAATACAAAATTGTTTGTAGGAAAAAAGTGCAAAATATATTGGCTTATGAATCGATCCATGAAAGAATGTAAGTTTTTATCTGTAGCCCATTACATTAGTTTTCTTCCTGTGATACAAGTCTGAGAATGATCGTGCCTTTGTCTAGTTACATTGCAAATCACAGGCTGATGAAACACATTTTTCTAAGCTTTGCAAGACAAATTATTAGTGAACTGATCAAAAAAAGTCTCAGCTGTACAAAGGCCACTCTAGTGTCATATCTATACTGGAACAAAATTTTTAAAGTTCAAAGCAAGCTCTTAGTTATGAAATCTAGTGAGACGAATTGATTTTTTTTGAATGCACATTTATTTTTTCAGCTTACATCTAAAACATGTATATGCTGAAGTATCTCAGAAAAAGCAGCTTTCATGCACTCAGATACTCTTGCCAACAATGCAAGACTTACAAAGTTAAAACCTACAATTTTCCGTTAGTTTTAAACGATAAAATTTTATATCAAATATATCAAAATTAATTAGTATCTAAATAATTAAAATATAAATATTATATTGGTTATCTAGGAACTTAAGTTTAAGTATTGTATTTACAGCTATATATACACCAAAGAACAAAAGTTTTGACAAGAAATCCAGTGTGTGTGTATATTAAAAAACCTTGTTTGATCTTCAAGTCACCAAGACAGATAAAACTCTATGATAAGTTTGCCTTGTTAGCTGCAATACAATACCTTTGAGAAAGTGACAAATACGTGTGTAAGTAACCTTTGTAGGCTTCTCTGCAAAATGGACTTCTGCCTACTCAGAGGTGGTCGCCTGTTGAGCAACGAACAGTGAAATGGGGACACTCTGTGGGGAAAGGAAAGTAATGCAATTTCTTGCTCTTTCTGGATCATCATCTTGAATCCTTTGCATTTTCCTGTTTATTGTGGTCTGATGAAAAGAAGGGAAGCATTTAATGCCTGCACTTCATTGCTTACAAAATAAAAAATCAAAAAAAAAATCACAAACATTGTTAGAAAATGCAGCAAAAAAACCACCACTATGAAATCTCTTCTGCCATCCTTGGAAAGGAGATAACAAATCCAACTTCATTCCCTCTTTTGTTTATTGTGCCACTAAAGTAGGGAAGAACACAAGAACAGATAACTAAATATGCCTAAGTACACCGTGACCTAGTTACATAGATGCTGCACTCACCCATTATATCTGAGAGGAGCCTCCCTAATCCCCAGGCTAAAATTCACATGAAATCCAGGATTTCAAGAAAAGAATGTAGAATTATTTAAAAGATATGCACTATCTGTCTGCAAACACCAAAATGGATTAAATTACTTGGCATGTATTATGTTTAGTGGGGACAATTCCAAATCAGAAATTTAGAGGCAGAGGTTTTAGGATGCTATACAGCTGCTCCTCTGGGGATCCTGTCATTTTCTTATCTGCAACTGCAGGGCTGGGCTCTACGTTTTGGCCCAGTTGAGGTACAGAAAAGAAACATCATCACAAACTCTTGAAACCTTGTTGAATGCTAAACCAAACTGCAGAGTGCTCCTATTAAACGGCTGTATCCAGTCATCCCCACTATAAATGGCAACCTCCTCCCTTGGGCTGAGACCTCTGAAGCCCAGGCTGTGGCAGCAGCCAGCACTGCTGGGTGCCAGGGTCCCAGCCCAGCCCGTGCCCAGCAGCCCAGCATGGAGGTGACCTCTGAGCCTTCCCCAGCACAGGGGAACTCCTGGGGACTGGCTGGGATTGTCAGCTGTGCTACAATGGCTTCTGACACACTGACCTTCTCCACTGATTTTACCCTATCCTGCCTACATCACAGAGGTGGAGAAGCAGTTTATAAGAAATGAGAGTGCTTTCCTCTTTAATACAGCCATTTTTCTGTAAAGTGTTTTAAAAGCCAGAATTCTTCCTGTAATGAACTCGAGGTTGTCTTGCTTTTGATTTATCAGAAGAATTTTAATTGAAATACTTAGAAACTCAAGCCTGGGCTTTACTTATTCTTTGAAGCTGGAAATCTCAGTCTCAAGGGATTCATTCTGCCTTGACTGTGGGTTTTGTGTAAAGCAAAGCCAGATTGTTTTATTTGGTAGAGACCGAGCAAGCTGTTACTGACTTTTAAATATTCAGGACCTATTCCAAAGCAGGATGGTTGCTAACATGAATAATTTTAATGGAATTTTTTTATTATTATTATTTTACAGTCTGTGCTGTAAACTATCTTACTTCCAACTTCAGTTGTATAACCTATCGTAAGACAGGCTATGAGCAGGTAGCTCAGTGGGATTGTTTTATGCTATTGTGTCTGTAATCTGCAAAAAGTGAGGAATCAGAATAGATTGAGGTCTGTCACTCATCCCCTGGTGATAGTTTTCAGCAAAACAGGGGG